AGTTTCTCTCAGATTAAAGTGTCGATAAGTATCTTTAAGCCACTGGAAAAGTGATTTGTAGTCTGTTATTGACTGTTGGACCACCACAGCTAAAAAGTCAACTGATGTATGTTTGGGCAGCAGGGTTTAGTAAAACATCAGTGCAAAGAATTCAGAGCAGTTTGGAGTACATGTACCAATAATTTTGAAGCATGCCAACTTTGTTTAGTGTAAAACATTCCCCCAATACAAATCCATAAAATATAAATACTTATTGTGTGTTTGTGTACATATGTGGGGAGCGCTGTATAGCAGAGATGAGTGATAGTGCCCCCTCCCCGCGAGCCCGTCGTCGAGACCCTGCATTCCTCTCATCGCCTGAGTGTGATGTGTGCAGCCTTTCGGCTAATCTGGGAAGAATGTCGGTTTCAGACGCACATGTGTTCCATTAAGTCCAGGTCTGTGTAAATAATATAACATGCAACAGCTAACATTACAGCAGGTAACTGTACCCCCACAGCTGTGCCCTGTAACCACCCAGCCAATTAAAAAAAAAAAGAAAAAAAGGAAAGAAAGCCAATCCTGATATTTAATGAGCTAACACATTGCAGCGCCTTGTGAGCTTTTAGCAAGCTGCAGATTTGTAGAAAATGTGCCGTTAAAATAGTTATTGTTTATTAAAGAATAAAGGTTGACATCTTGGGTAGCGAGATTAATAAAATCCTTATAATGGAATGTTAACCTATATTTTTTTTCTGCTTATTTGCATTAACACAACATATGATAAAAACATGCCGTTAATCTTGCGGCTAAACAACAAATTCCACTTTATCGTTAAACAACTAATAAAAAACGCTTACGAATCTAAATGGAACACACACAGAAATATCCAAACAAGTACTTCTTTGTTTATTCACACAATGTCTTTCTGAAAACGTGATCTTGACGCATTGATATAAAACACATATTAAAGTTGATTAAATATCCAGAGTGGTTTTTCTCCTCCCAGTCTTAAACTGCCATGTGCTTAAATGCCTCTACAGGCAAATAAAATGGCTGGAGTGGGACAGGAATGTACATCCCTCCTTCTATTGTTAGTGTCTTTATGTCCAGACGGATCTCATTGGCCTTTTTGTGTTTATCATTGGCCCTCTCTGCTTCCACTGATTGACTCGGCTCTGCTGGCTGGTAGAACAATGTTTGCTTTTGCTGTCTGCCTGGGGAAGTCCCTTTTTTTTTCTCAGACAGACCTAGATGTAGATACAGTAACACAAAGTGAAGAGGATGCCAGCCTCCAGCCCTGCATCTTCCTGTCAAGATCACCAAAGTGTGTTAGAAACTTGCAATCATTTATGCGCCTTTTTATTATTTTATTTTTAGATGCCACTTATTTAGAATGAAAGTAGCAAGCGAACCCACCACTCGGCTCTATTTCGGGCTTAACTAGATTGTGGGTGTGCAGAACTAAGAAAAGAATGAGCCTTTCGACGCAGCATGATGCAAAAACTGGCTGGGAGCAGCTGGTTCGGTCAAAATATTACAGAAACCGAGCCAAACAGTGAAAGAGAGTCGGCACGGGTGAGAGTTACTAAAAACAAAAGAAAGGTGTCAGAGGACAAGTGTAGTGAACAATGCCCCTTGCACTTGTAAACGGTTGTGAGCCAGCAAGGAAACGCGAGGAGTTTGTTCTGTTGCTGTTCTGAGTGCCAGCACTTCTAATGACTCTGTCAGGGCCAGTTAGCACAGCCAGGCCTGCTTGTGTCCCCTCTAGGCTCCAGACAGCTGTTATTAGCCCCGTAATGCTGCATGCCATGAGGCTAGATTAGCCTGGCACACCGAAGAAATATCAAACATTCACTTATTGTGGCTCCTTTGCTGGTTAAAGCAGCTAGTCTGTAAGGATTTCATTTAGCAGAGTTTCTGGCGAGAAACCGAACAAGACCAAAAAAAAAAAAAAAATTACCAGTGAAAAATGGAGTCAGTGTACAGTATCTCTCTCTGCAAGGCTGGGGAGACTCATTGAGTTGAATATTTAGCATGTACTGTAAAACATCATGTTCACGTTTAAATAGTATGTTTTTTAAAAAATACTGATTGCTAGTTTTCAAATCAAAGCTTGTTAGAAAAGTGTACCTTTAGTCAGGGGCGGAGCCAGACATTTTTCTCAGGGGTGGCCAGACAGGGACCACTACTCACACAGGGGTGGCCAGAAAAATTACATCATTTTTTACTTGAAAGTTTCTGCAGATCTTTGAGTGTTTTGGTCATTTCCTTATGTCCATATACAGGCAGTGACAACCTTATAACTACGGGTGTCAGAATCATTTTAAAAGTGGGCTGTTGGGGGTTCTGGGGGTCCTCCCCTAAAAAAATTTGAACAAAATAGATGCCATTTCCTGCATTCTGGTGTATTTTACCAGGTTGTTAAACATCATTTTACCTACAAAAATAAATACTTGATTTAATAGTTATTTCAGAGACAGATTGCCAAATAATGATGATCCTCAACTGCATGTTTAAAACTAATATTATTAACTTTACCCAATGAACAGGCGCAATATTGATAAACACCAACAGTGAATTTAAAGGGACATTTCACTTTTTCTGATTTAGCGATAGGTCTACTCATAACCAAAAGGGACAGAGCATCATGCAGCCTTCATACCAGAAAAAGACACTGTGTTATGATGACAAAAAACCAAAAACATTTGTCACCATAAGTCAGATAGGCATATGTTCTGTATATAACGGAAACAATCACTTTTTTGTCACTTCTTTGAGCTTGGTGATGTTTCACACTGTTAAAAAGACTGCCACTAACTGTTCAGGAGGATTATTACACCCCTAAAAGTTGTTTCACTGTAGAAGGGGTATGCAGCAGGGTGGCCAATGGGAGTGGCCAAAGATTGGTCTGTGGTGGCCATGGCCACCACCCCCTGGCTCCGCCCATGCCTGCTGTGTCATCATTATCCAACTCACATCGACAAGATGTTCGATATGGACAGTGATGCTTGCAAAAGCTCATCTAACAATTTTACGAGCATCACAGTGTGGGTCTCACCTTGTGGTAATCACCTTATTCAGACCCATTGGAACAATCTGCAGAAATGTGTTTATAGACTGCAAAAGCTGCATTCTGTAAACTCTTTTATAAACTGCCTTTAGTTGGCCTGCATCACATGACCAATCAGAAGTACAAAGCTGGGTCCAGACAAACTTAACTCAGGGCTGTTCTCTCACGTTGCTGTTAAACATAGTCAAACACTTTAGTCTGATATCTCGACCTTTGATGTGTTTCTGAACGTGGGATTTTATATGTCTGGCTTTTTGTGTGCATTTTTTTTCCAGTATACAGTGAGGTGACAAAATGAATATTAAAGGGGCAATATCATGTGTTTCTCAGGCATACATTTAAATACTAAACCATAATAAAGTATCTATGTCACCTTTAGCTGTTATTAAAATGCTGTTTTTTATGTTTAAATAGAAAATATTCTTATCTTCTCATCACTTCTTCTTCTAAACGCCTTGAAATTGGCCTCTGTCTCTTTAAGAACCACCTTCCACTTCTGTCTCGCCCATTTCAGTGCCTATTTTTCCTCAATACCTTTGAGGAAAAATGCCTTTTTCCTCAAAGGTATTTTTAATCTGAAAAGAGCTTCACTGAGTGAGAAGTAGTGTTGAGAGCTCAGCAGACAGTTCCAGTTTCACTTTCAGTATCACCCGAGAGCCTGCAGGAGTCATGGGTGGGGTGTGTGGGGAGGGGGGAGTGGGGGATGCTCCGCCATGAGGAAGTTCGGCTTAAAGACACGTCCAAGGGGCGTTCCTGGTAGCAGAAGATGTTTCTGGCCCCCACCTGTCGTTTTGCTCCTCAGCATGGCTTCCTAAAAACACTGCAGGATTTCTCAAACATGTATGAATGAGTCAATGTTTTTTATGAGAGTAGACCATTATAACATGATATAAAACTCAAAAAAGTTGATTTTACATGCCCCTTTAAAAATAAAAGCAAGGAGCAAAGGAAAAAAACATTTATAAAATATTTTTGTCCTTTTATTAAAGTACATCATAATCTCATGTTTTGAGCAAATCCTTAAGGCAGCCATAATTGTTCCCAAATGTTCATTCGTGTTTGAACCTCTTCATAATAAAGCTGCATCCGTATTATTCCTTGTAGTGTTTCATTTATCAACAGAGAGCATAAAGAAGCTTAAACTGACTCCTCAGGAGGTAAAAAAAAGTGCCTCACTTTGTCTGTCCCTTTTACGTGAACATTAACAATCTACAAATCAGGTGACTAAAATGTGAAAAGTGTTGGACAGAAGAGACGAGGGATGTTAACGTGAGAATAACAGAAGGAGTCAGAAGAAACGAGGTGCTCATGTTTGACAGGGAAGTGAGGACAGAGAATGATAAAGAATGTGAGGAAGGCAGTGAGATCTGAAATGAACCCTGCGAGGTACCCGTGCCTTGGTGTCTGCCCCGCTGAGCTACCATGTCCTTCCCTGGCAGGAAACATACTTTGTGAATCAATCATTAGTTTCCCAACTACTGAAGGCCTTGTGCTTCGCAGCTGAAACCCACATGTGGAAGTGCAGGGAGGAGCTGGCAGGTTTGCAGGCTTCTCAACTCTGTTTGTGGGTTGTGCGTTGTATAGAAAGATGGAGTGAGTTGAGAGGAGCAGTGCATAGGAACCCCAGTGACCAAATACAACAGCTTAGTGCTATTAGTGCCGCTACATGAGCCACTCCTGTGCAGTTATTATGTGTGGTACATCACCATTAGCTGATAGGATTTAACATGGCAGCCAGTGTGAAATATCAGTGGAACTTTATAAAACCTTAAAACAACTGAAACTGAACAATTCCTGCTCGTTCTTCTCAATGTTTGGACAAATTCAAAGAAGTTCAATTCATATCTCAGTTTTGTTGTTAAAGTTTTCCTGGGGTTGTTATTTATTACCTTTTTTTTCTTGTAAACGTGAACTAATCTGCTTATTTTTTTTCTTTCTTCCTCTCCAGAGCAGATACGGTGCTGCAGATCGAGGAGTAAGGCTCTACAGTTCTCTGCCCATGCGCCCTAACCCTGATGGAAAGAGACTGCCCTCTACTGGGGTAAGAGTCGTGTCTTGCACCCCCCCACCCACCCCCCCATGCACCTAGTTCACCCCTGCACCCTGACCATTCGCTCTCATTTATTACTTACCATATTTAATGCGCACAGCGTACCACTGAGGAAGACTTGTTTTTCGTTGACACAGGGAGGTAATCTTAAGATGGTTTTAAAAAAAAAGTTGTTAAAAAGCTTCAAAGTTTTAATTGGAAATTCTTGATACCTGACAGGAAGTCTCATCATTATAATTACTTGGATTTCCAACCAGAACGACCTAAGCAACTCAACATCCTCCTAACATCTTCACATGGCATCTTCCTTCCCCACTAACTAACTTTGTCCACACTTACTCTGACAGACTTGCTCAGTTCCTTATCACCGGTCCATGACTGGCGAGGCCAGTGGTCTTAATGAAGCATCCATCTGACTTGGTGGTTTTTGTGGTATCTCCCTTATAGCTTCTCAAGAAGTGGTTTACAGCAGGTGCAGGCCAGCCAACGGCCTCCTGCTGCTTTCACAGAAAGTGATGTAGTGGCTTTCTAAAAAAATGCTTTTGTTTCAGATGATTTCTTGGAAACAAAACAAATAAATGAAAAAAAGTGAAGGTTTATAACGCATATTTCTTTTTATGATTTCTCCCCCTTTTTTTCCCCCTTCATTGTTTCCGGTAAAGCAGATGAATTTAAACATCAAAGTCTCATTTTCAGTTATTTTAATACACAAGTGTTCACACGAATGCTTAGAAACAGAAAGTGATTAAGTTTATTGAAGTTGCAACACTTGCAGCTCTTTGACTTTGACAAAGTGCCGGAGCAGTCAGCCTTCTTTGTTTTTGAAAGCTTTATTTTTTTTAATACATAAAAACTTTTAGGGTTTTGAAAATCATAATTAGAATCTAGCTTCTCTTGCTTTTATGCATTTATGTAACAAAAAAAGAGAAAATGAGAGAACAATAGAGTGAAAAAAGGGAGAATTTAATTTCCCTCTTTTTCATGTTTCACTCCATGCAAGTGCTTTTTGAATTATCTCTTCGGTGCTTCGGGGCTCAATGAGAGGAAGAGGAGGGAGAGTTAGGGGGAGGAAGGGTGGTAGAGAGACAGACAGGCAAAGTTAAAACAAAGCAATGTAATACTGTTGGTGTGCACCTTTTTTTTAATTACATCCGAGATGGTATTGATGTCTCTGGCCACGTGTTGTAAATCATTTATCAAAGGTGGAGCGAGTGCTAACAAAGCATTTCTAAGAAAGCCATCCTCTCACACGGCCTGAAATCATATGCTATCTGAGGTGAATATTGTTAGTGCTTTTCAGTGGAGAGACCCACTTACAAATCACGCGAATGAGTTCCACGTCAGGACATGTGTGAGGCAGTGGAGATCTATATCTGCTATCATCTGATCCCTGCTTGTATAAATTAAATGCTGCATCCAAATCGTGTTGCAGAAGTTGTTGGTGAAATGAATTTATGGGGTAAACGTTTGTGCACACGTGTCTTAATCGTCTGTTTTACTGCACAGCAGCACCTTGAAGATGATATCTTTTGTACAGATTCACAAAAGGAGACAATACATGCTATTTTTTGCCCCACCCTTTGTTATCTGTCATTTCCTTTTGTCTGTTATTACCTGACTGTGGAGTCTGTACAGTAGCTACAGGCTGCGAGGAGAGAGGGAGAATATAAACCACTTAACATGCAGGAGGAAACCAGACGTTTTTCCATTGCACTTATCAGGTGCTGTGGTGAGAGCAAGTGTCAAGGTGCAGTAGGTCCCTGCCCCCCCTCTCCCCCCTCCCCTTCCGCCTTTCACCCATCCTCTCCTTCCTCCCCTCTTCCTTCCCCCTGCACACCGCTTTTATTTTCCCCTGATCTGTATCTCTGTACCTCCTCCCCTCTCCCTCACCTCACCTCCACCACTCGCCGCGTTCAGTTCAGTTAAAAGTGGGCTTGGCAC